GGGCGAAATCGCCTCTTGATATCACTAACTCTCCTGACTCCTGACTATAGGTCCTATAGGTTCTAAAGGGAGACCTATTGGTCCTATAGCGAAACCTACAGGTCCTATAGGGAACCCTATAGGTCCCAAACTGAACCCTATGGGGCCTATAGGTTCTATAGGGGGATCTATAGGTTCAATAGGGGACTCTATAGGTCCCAAACTGAACTCTATAGGGCATATTGGATCCTATAGGATTCCTATATATTCCTAAAGGAATATATAGAAATCCTACGACATTTTCGTAAGGGATTAGACCGCACGTCGGCGGTCTGTGCCGCCGCCCGCTTTCTTCTACGCCGCGGGGATGCTGGAAATCAAGTGTTTTAACAGGAGGAGAGAATTCATTCATATTGAATGGGCCAGCGAAGCAGAGAACCACTGACCAATAAAGGCTAAGAACACAACTAGTCAGCAGCGCCTTTTCATTTGCATTGACTCCAGAGGCCGCTGACGGACTCGAAGACGAAGATCCGGAAAGCTGTGGGTCTCGATATTTCGTCTTGTCTGCTTTAACTCCCGTAAATTTTACTTATCTTGAATTTCACAAGTCGGCTCTCAACTTCTTGCACCGTTGACTCTTCCTAAACTGTGCAATTGCTCTCTTGCAACGTCCGCACAATCATATAGCACGATGATGCACGAGAAAAGAAGATCTCCGAGCCAGAGAATCTCGATGGACCGACTCGATACCTCCAACCGGGCTTGAAACTCCTTCGCATTCGACGGCACGCAGAAGCGACGAGGTCTCCGCGCTTTTGAGGGAGGTGCAGTGCGTATCATAGCTGGTATATAGCCGGTGTATATGTTTGAAAAATATGACATTCATTTATTTTTCACCGGGAGAAAATGTCCGTTCTGGTCGATTACTGAACAATTTCCGAGAGTTCTGTGAATAAAAAAAATTCTCATACGACTGGGAGAACCTCGACATGGACAATACATGCTGTGAGGCCTGATTGTTGTGGTAATGTGGTAATGCAACCAAAATTGAGATGATAAAGGATTCCGTTCAAATACCGTATTGTAGTACGTACAGGAATGCGGCCTGTGGGCACTGGGCAGTATCGATTGCGTTATGCCCCCGAATCTTTGAGACTCAGAGCCTACCTGTAACAAGGAAAAGTGTAGAAACCAATTTGATTCGATTACAAAGCCACAATGACTCGATTGAAGAGTCAATGCCACCGATTGAAGAGCCAATGCCACCGATTGATGAGGCCCTGCGCCCGCAATGCTTACAGCGTCATCTCAGATTAAGGCGTTATGCAACTTTATATGAGTAGTCTCATCCATTAGGAAAGGTACGTACTCCGCCGTAACAGAGCATTGACTTAATTTAAGCTGATGTAAGTTGCATTTAAATAACTCAGTTAATTTAAGTTCGAGTTAATGCATGAGAACTGCCTAAATGCAAGATGAAGTAAGTAGAAACGTATTACACGAAGCCAGGAGGTGCATTGCTCCTATGAAGTCGACCACTCAATCAGATCATGAGGTCATTATCATAATGGTCATGAGGTCAATGGTGACTTATTGACAAGGAGTTCTGTATTTTTAAATCAGCTTATTTTGCAGTCCTCGGATGCAAAGACACAAGTCCTTACGTTGGGACGACTCAGTTTATATTAATATTTAACTTGCAAAAATCGGTGCAGTAAAGTTAATTCATTGGAGTACTTCATCGTCATCCAGTCAGCAATTTACCCCGCGCGAAGCGTGGCTCGTCTCCGAGGTATGCGTGCTACAAGCATGGGCCAATGGGTACATGAGCCCAAGCGTGCATCCGTGGGCCATGGGTGGCAGGGGCATGGGCAGAGATGTCCGCGTTATCAGTGGCAACCTCATGCGTGGGGCCAAATGTGGCTTATGCGTGGAGCATTTCCGTGACAAAAATAACCTGGCTGGTCTGTCTGCAAGTGGAAGCATGGCACCAACGTGGCGCATGTGTGGGCCACTCCATAAATGTCCGCTTTTCTGCGGTAGCCTGCCACAATGGTGGATACATTTTTATCTACAGTACTAGTACTGCTGGTACTGGCATGGCAACAGAACTGGCAAAAGCAGTACTGGCAAACGTTTAACCCATGGATGGGCAGGAGGCATAGGATAATGCAGGAGTTAATCTATCCCTGAAACGTACTAATTATAGTATGCTACCTTATACATGCATGCATCCGCCAAATGTTTCCTCTCGCCTCCAGTCGTATATTGTGTACGTGCGTGGAACATCCATGCCTGCCAAGTGTGGGCCAAGGGTGCAAAAGTTTCCTGTGCCACACACGGTCTAACAACAGAACAGTCGCAGAAACGCAGCAGCTGCCGCACTTGCGCTGCTGATTGGGCAGTCCCGTAAGTACCGTAAGTACCAGAGGTTCGCGCGGGAACATCCAAGATTGCCTCCGCCCGTCTTCATCGACTTCAGCCATCATGCTCACATGTTCATTTTCCTCTTGGATACCGGAATCAAAGCACAGGGTGTCCATGAAGTGAGTACCTACGGGAATCTTTTTTATTATTGAAATTAAAGTAGCCATTTCTCTTGTTTGTAGATTGAAAACGGACCGATCTTGGAATAGTGTCAGATCTTTCCTCCTATCGCATTGGCATGACCGAGAATAGATTTCCTAGATATGGAGTTCAAGATTTTTTCCCCATTCGATTAAATAGAAAAAAAAGGAGAAGAAATTCGAAGGAAAAATCGCCTTTGACCTGATAGTACCAACTTCTGGCAATCGTCGACCACCTGACATTTCTTAGCCTTGGGAACCGCCAACATCTGCGACAATTCCGTCCCTTATCTGGTACAAGGCAAGGGAGATATTCTATTTCGAGTCGTTTAAGATATGTGAGTTTTTCCGAGCGAAAAAGACTCACAAGTTGCGGGATCCTGCATTACAAATTTCTGAACCTGAAATGGAAACAAGGGTCTCGTAAGTGAATTCTCGGTCACGCCAGAGCGGTAGAAAAAAAGATGTGACACCAATCCGAGGTGTAAAAAGAGATAAGCTACACAGAGAAGAAGACGGGGTCCCCCGGATTAAGTATGAAAAAGTTGCTAATAGGTAGTTGCTTTATGGACACTCTGCATGCGGTACATTCTTTCGCTATTCCACGCTGCTGGTATTCGTTAAAATCGAGAAAATGTTGAAATTAGATGGTCTGCCAATGGATAGTACATTTTTTCACTCAAGAGCAACTAAGTCCTATTGCTTCCAAATTTGACAGTTTCTACTTGGTTCCCATTACCGTCTCGATTTCCTTTTGCATCGCAATTTCCTCCATACTCCGCAGCCGTGAAATCCTCTTACGGAAATATCCTATTGGAAAACTATAGGCTTTCCCATGGGTTTTTGAAACACGAAAAACCTTTGGGATCCCTATAGGGTCGTATAGGATTCCTGACCTATTGGATTCGGGGAGGATTTTTTAGGTTACGAAACCCAGGCATTACGACGGAAATGGCAACCGGGGTCAATATTGGCGCAGCATTTTGGTGTAAATGAATTATCGATTAGGGGTTTTCCCAAGGTAGAGGCACTTACACTACTAATACTGCCCAGGTCTGCATAATTGCCGAGGCTCACATTTGTCGCTGGATTGCGCGTCCACTTCCTTCGGTAGAGAGAAGTACCATTATTCTCTCGCGACCTAAGGAAACAGAAGACAGAACCTGGGAGCATGTCTTTTTATTGAAACTCCTTTCGGAGTAAGACTACTTATTCTCGTACGTGGTTTTCAAAGAGCAAATGAGCATATTTCTTGCCTGGACTCCATGATTCTATCTGGAAGATGAGAATCCCTTACGAAAATATCTTATAGGATTCCTATATATTCCTAAAGGAATATATAGGAATCCTATAGGAACCTAAATGAATCCTATAGGATCCTATATGCCCCATAGAGTTCCCAGTAGAACCTATAGAGTCCCCNAAACATTCCAAAGCACGAGGGACATTCACATGCATTCAAATATCGTGCCACATTATGTAGTACATCTAGCGAATGTCTACAGTAGTATGCATTGCATGAGGATAGCGCTATGAATTTCTTGCGGGTGTCCATTGGATATTCGTAAGGAATGTAACTCTACCGGTGGCGTTAATGTAGTGGTCCAATGAAAAAAAGTTAGTGTCAGTATTGCCTCCAATCGGGGTGGCCGTATAAACCAATATTGGCTTGTATGAGAAAGTTGAGAACACTCTCACTAATCCCAAATGAAAGGTCTTGCACTGTTCATAAGTATTATGGAGGGACAGTAGAATAACTTCGAACACGTGGTTTCAGTTTCCATGCTGCTGCCGTGTTAGGAAATATGCGCTTGAGTTTTCCAAGATTTCATATTAGCTTCAGAGTCATAAGTTGAGTAATTGCATGCAGCTAACTTGAAAAGCATCAATGTATTCCGTGTTCCTGGGGCACTGAATAGATGAATGCCATGAGCTACGAGAGGACGTATTCCCGCAATTTATTCCATCTCGTGTTAATGAATGGCTTTGCTGATTTCGAAACAGCGGGTCGAATGATCCCTCCCAGGGTCAGACACATGAGAAAATTCACTCATGGGAAGATCGTCGGCGGCGAGCCTGCAGAATTGGGTACTGTTCCCCTAATTTCGGTTCCTTCCTTCCTCCGACACGAATCTGAGGGAATTCCTCTCTCTCGAACTCGGTTGCAGGCCAGTTCCCGTACCAGGCGTCGATCCAGGACGATATATTCGGCTGGGGACATTATTGCGGGGCTTCCATCTTGAACTCGACGCACTTGCTCACCGCCGGCCACTGCGATCCCTATGTCGGCGATAAGGTCTGTCATTCCTTCCTCTCATTCGTATGTTTTCCTTTATTCTTTCGATGGAGCATCAAATTTCTTGCATTTTTTTTAAATCAATAATATCTTGTGGTCGTCCCTGGTAGCTTAATGGCCATAGTGCTGAACCTGTTATCGTGGATATTTTCAAGGAACACACGGTTCCAATGAGCACATTCCAGGCTTGAGCCCGAACAGTCAGCCAAGTCATTGCTGAAAATGTTTCAGAGGCTCCTGGAAAAATGCCCTTAATGAGCGTCTCCTCTGCCAATGTCTCAAAATGTGTTTTGAGGACATATTGAGCTCTGTTTCAAGGATATATTGTTCCCCGAGATTAGAGCAACGTCTTCGTTGCCTCGTTTCTTTATATTCCAAAATTACTTGCTCGCGATTAAAAACCTCGAGTCTCCCTGCAATGACACCATCGTTCGAATTTATAATCCACTAATAACACGCATAAAACATTCCGCTCGCCCCAGCGATAATCCATTAGCTGAGCGTTCATTCGCTCTTCCTAAATTAAAGCAGGAATATGGCGCCTCTCAACGATTTCTCTGAAGTCTGAATTTCATTCGAGCAGATTGCTTTCATTCTTTCGTCGTTCTCGAAGAGAACAAGCCGCGAAATCTTAAAAGCCGATCCAAAGTCGATATGCAGGTGGTGGCGGGAATCATCAATCTCGACGACGAAGGACCGGAAGCCCAAATAAGGAGAGTCGACAGGGTCGTCATCCATCCGCAATACTCCGGGTCTGTCCCCCTCTCGCTCTGTCCCCCTCTCGCTATGTCCTTCTGGAGGTCTTAAGCCTCTCCTCCGCGGTACTCCGGATCTGTCTCTAATCGTTTCTTTCCATAATTATTTTCCCTGTGGAATTAAATTATTAAAATGAGGGGAAAACGGGATAAATTGCTGAGTTATTTTTTAAATCTCAGGTATTCCGTGAAAATTCTGCCTCAGCCCCCACTTTTATCTCTCCCTTGTCGGTAATTTACTTCAGTTTTACAATTCCCCTCAAATTAACATTTGTTTAACATTATTTTGCTTTTACCTGTGTCTTACCTGCACCTTCACAAGTAATTCGCCGTTTGCTACCTACATCAACCAGATTAGGCTCCTCTTAAAAAAAGATTATCCTGATATTTCCCCCTGACGTATTTTTCAAATCTGATCCAGAAAACCCTTTCACCTCATTCTCCAGTGACTGCAATGGAATTACTCTTAAAAATCCTCACAATTTGAAAAAGGGGGTAATGTAGCTATAAGGAACTAGGAGGTATGTGGATATGCTCCCGAAAAATAATTTTACAGAGGGGCTGGATCATCTTGTAATCATGAACGCAGGATATTCAAAGGGAGATTATACTGCGGGCTTCCTGACTACCAAAACTCTGAATCAGCTTAAGAATAAAGCTTAGCCTCGGGATATGAATAATATATGTCATGGTAACCCCTGACCCAGAAAAAAGGCACGACTTACAAAAAGGTCTCATCATGAAATCGTCAGCAGAACTTCTTTTTACGTTACGTTGGACTATGCCTAGGCGGACCGATCAAGAGTCTCATTACTGAATGCATTTTTCCATTATCCAATTCCAAACTACTTCATGGATTTGATGGAAGTCCTTCATTGCTCGAAAATATCGATGCTTTAAATTATGTAAATTAGAATATAAATGTATGAGCCTTTAATAATTAAATGTCTCTCATCCAAGCAATAGTTTTAAAAGAAATACAGCCAAAATAATGAATAATATGCAAAAAAGAGAGAAAGAACCATTCAATGGAATCCTTTCCATTCCAGCGTGGAGAACGACGTGGCCGTGGTGACTCTGGATGAACCGTTCGTGTTCAACGAATTCGTCGGACCCGTCACGCTCCCTCTCGACGGCCAGCAGCCCTCCAATGAGCCAGGTAGATCATTAACATCCATTTTCAAAATGGTCTTTGAATATGGTTTATGTTTTGGAAATGTTAAAGTTCAGAATGCGGTTTGGGCGACTGAAGTTGTCCAAGAAGTTCAGTTCTTTCTGACGGAAGTACATCGGTTTCGGTTCGATAAGTGCAGGGTGATAATAAATTTTGGATGCATTTTTTATGTAGGGTTATAACTAAAAGGGGATTGGTACCTTATAATCGCCATGTAATTCTTGAAGATTTTCAGCTTCCTTTTTTTAAATTTTAAATGGAGAATCCTCGCAAATAAGAGTTCTGCTTGCAGATCCCCAGCCATACATTAAGCGGGGGTGGCAGCAGTTCGCAGGGTCTAACCCCAGAGCAGTGCTCCCTCCTAATGACTGCCTCCTTTGGTTCATTCATTTATTTGTTCATTCATTCATTCGGTCAATGTACAAAGAGAGATAATTGTGCCATGGATGGCTGGTCGAAGCAAGTCATGTCACCCCGGATGGCTGGTCGTGACAGGACAATCATGACGGATACCGTCACATTTGTAGGTGCCATCCCTGAGTACTTAACATATTATGAAGGAACATTTTCAGCATATGAATTATCGCTGAGACACATCATATCAGCCAACTCGTTTGAGATTTTTACGGCACATGTTTCTTGAATCGATTCGTGACGAGTAGACGAAAAGAATACGAGAAAGCTCATACATAATTTTGTTCTCTGCGAGCGAGACGGCCTGGGCTGAAGTTTTGCCATTTTCTCAAGCGAGTCATCCAATTGCTGAGACCTCTTGTCGCGACAGAAAATGATCTTCGAATATTGAAACCGTGTATAGGGTGTCAAACGTTTCTGCAGGATTTTATTCCCATATGAAACGCCTAACTGTTCAATGCGAAAAAATGTCAATGGGCTCTTAAAATGCTTAACGTCTCATTAGGCTACAAATCATGACATTCCTTTCCTCCTAAAAGACAGCAAAATGATAGTTTTCATGAAATTGCTAGTATAGCGTCTGTGGAAGAGAATGCAAAGCGTTTCTATTTTTCATAATTCCATTCATAGCCTGAGTGTTTCGGAACCTTCAAAATCACCTAGAGAAAATAGTTAAGTGATTGCATAATATTTTACCTGAAATTATACAATACATAAATGCTTAGTCATAACATCGCTTAATTGTCATATCAGGTGTCTTTTCCTTGGCAGATCCAGCTTAGAACTCTTCCTACTTTCATTTCTGGTTGGAATTCAGCGGACACGGCGAACGTCGTCTACTTTGAAATCTTGTTGGAACTGTCACAAGTACTGCAATACTTATCCTGTCTCAGAACAACACAAATAATTACTTTATGAGCAAATCTCTAAAGAAAACCTTAGACTTTCCTCCAAAGGAGCATATCGAATGGTTTAGGTTTCACATGGGATTTAAATCCCGCCACGAACTCTCTAACGCCCAAGAAGTGAACACCAAATTTCAGAGTCCTCCGGTTGCAGTAAAAACCCAAATCGGGATAATGAATTGCTCGGCTGTGAATGTCTCGGGGCTGCGAGTTTACCTCTTGCGGCCTTGTTTCTGCGGAGATGGTGTCAGACCTGGTTCACGAAAAGATCCTTGTCATATTTCGGAGATCAATCAATTGGCCCAAAATCAGCCTGTAAATCCTAATAGTGTGAGGGAGAAGCCAGGGTTAAAAGAAAGACGCAGATCCGTAATGGGTGGCAGTTGTTGCAATGGAATGTGCCCTCACTGAATTTAGAAAAGTGTTTGAGCCTGGTTTTTCTTCTTGCATCTGCATCTTGATTTAC